CCTCCAACAAAAGCACTTTTCAGTCATCAAAATGCTTCTCAAGACAAATAGATTTTCAAATTTTCCACGGTCTTCATCCCATTGCCCTCCCCCCCCCCCCCCCCCCCCCGCCGGAGGCGGGGGTTTCAACCCAGGTCAGCAAGACTACCGAAACATGTTCATGAGAACAACTGTTAAAAGCTAGCTATAGGGAACCTAGACAAATTTTAAACGGACAATAAAACTAAGTACAAGGCGATATATGTGTCAGCAGGTCTTGACTGTTAGACAGCCATGGAAGGTCACAGAACTAACACAAGAACCAACTAACAATTACAGGTACTCCAAGTTCGGTCCACGACTAAATCAGAAAATCCTATGAGATGTCGAGAACGTTGTCCCCTTAAAAATTTAAATTAAATTATAAAACTGAACAGGTTACTACATAACTACGTACACGGCTACCCATGATGTTAACTGATTATTCACTAATTAATATCTTAATCTATTTGAGAAATATTGTCAGTTAATAACGACTCTCGGAAATACTTCTGTTCAACCCTTGACTTTCATGAACACTAGAACAGTATCCACCAGAAGAAGAGCAGCAGAAACGAAGCCAAAAAACTAGAAAAAAAAAATCAAGAATACAAGAGATGAGACAATCATGTTTTCCTCTCTATATTTTTGGATGAGTCGGAATTGAACCACCTTGAGAATAAAGCGTCTTGTTGAAACCTTGGTTAGGCTCGACAAGACCGCCAGCTTTGAGCAAATCATCACGTTTTCAACAAATACAGATCAGGGGCGTATATATTACTATGTACCTTATTTCTTTTTGGAACTGTTATGTATTGTTCCAAAGAGTTCCATAGTATGCACTAAGAAAATTTCAATGAACGAAAGGTACGTTCTTCGTTTTTGGCAGCCATATCGCACAGGGGATCTGAGGAGAAGACCAAGTCTTCCTCGACATCTAATTCAAAATGGCTGTAGACCCTTTCTCCAGAGTGGGCAAAATCCTGTTTAAACTTTCGCGCATGCACTTACCACGGACACGGTCAGAACGTTTGTGCGTCGCTTCAACCAGCTAACCTTGTGCCAGCGAGCATCGTAAAGATCATCAAGGAAGTCCGCCATGAGCGAAGATGAGATAATAAACAGCAAGGCAAATAACGCGGAAAACACCAGAAGCTAACAACAGATAAATCAAAAAGAGTTCATGACTTCACTAGAATTCTGTCAATCAGTAAATAGTGTTACCCTTACCCCATTTTTAGTTTATATTTATTATATAAACACCGGTGAAATACCAGGATTTTTCCTTTTACTAAAAAATCATATCTTCATCGCGCGCAGTGAAGATACTATTTTTATCTTTCACACTGTGAAGATATCATTCCCTTTTGACAACATTTTTCTTTTGTCCCTTTAACTACACTTAAATTTGTTGATGTATGATCGAAACATATTCGGATCTTCTTCGGTCGTCTTCGGCAATCTTCGGTAATCTTCGGAAAATGTTCGGAAGCGTTCGTCTGGCCTTCGAAACAATTTTGGAAAATCTTCGGAAATCTTCGGAAGGTGGTCGAAAATCTTGGGAAAATTAAATCTGCTGCGCTCACTCGTGAGATATCGAGTTGAACACTCGAAGATAAAATTCGTGTCCACGCGCGCGGGCATGTAATATCCTCTATACGTATGTATCGCACAAACGGCACTTTATTATCACGTACAGATAGATATATCTTCGAAGTGCGAGGTTATCAAGAGTGAGATAGAAAAAAAATTACTCTTTACAGTTTACCAGTGTTCTTTAAAGGAGTTCAGTCACGGCATGTTGAGTTATTTGGGCCACGTACGAAATTGCCTTTAAACTGAAAGTAACCTAAAAATAGTAATTTACTAACAAAGAAAAACGCCGAAGACATAATTATAAACCATAAAGGAACAAGGATGGTTAGGGATGGAAAAGATTAGCAGGGATTGTAAACGACGAACATGATCAATTTAGGCTAAACTTTTCGAGATGCGCAAACCGTGACGGAGATCCTTTAAGGATTTACACCGCTTTCACCTCAGCTGTTTAGAGAGAGCAAGCGAAGGTGTGAGTGAATTACACATATCGTCCTCTACTATGTAGTTCCACGATGGACAATGTGCATGTCTGTGCAATTGTTCGCGCACTTTTATTCAATTAATGGTAAACAGGTTAAAAGTTGGCCGCGCGCTTTTTACTGAGGCTTTCCTTCGTATTTTCGGTCAGTAGCAATAATTATTATGGGCGAGATAAACCAAATCAAGCACTGTGATTCGCTACCCGACTGAGACGAAAAGGCGCGAAAGCTGCTGGAAAGTCTACGAGACAATTATTGCGTCACAACCAAGAGCAACTAAGGAATGCATGGGAGATAGAAACAACAGGTACTGAAATTGAGAATTTCAAACATGCGCATTTGCCTCCCTATCTATGCACGCCCAGCCATTCCTCATTTCACTTCTCCTAATTATAAGAAATAGAAAACCGTGTACCGTGTTGCTATCGAGTTTTCGTATAAATGTACTGGCGTTCTATCACGAATGTTGCTCGCTGATTGGCTACGCTACTCACTATTTATTCTGTTGTAGATAGTGAGTAACCTAGAAGTGTGCGTTTGTTAACGAACTGGCGGCCGCTTTTTGCATTTTCGAAGTGTCTACGAAGAGGATTTAGATAATGTTTTGAACGACCAGTAGATTTATACTAACACAAAAAGATTATTCGCTCTAGATTTTTATGCGTGATAGTTGACGCGGGCGCAAGTCAACGATTTTTAACCAGTCAGCGCGAGTATTTTCTTTGGGCTATTTTCTTTGCCGATATAATCACCATACAAATTACAGCAGTATACTTACCATGATGTTCCAGTTCTTTTCCGTCGTTAATTTACCTTCGAGAGTAAGGAGGAAAACAAAGAACACAAACAAAACAACAGCCCAGCCGATGACAAACACTGCCATGAAGAAATCGTAGCGTCCTTCATATTTGCCTCCGATTACAACTATGTCGCGGTCAAAATCAGCCAGACACGAATACGCCGCGCAGATGGTAATCTGTTGATATGAGCAGAATGTTTCACGGGTATGGTATACAAGTGGTTCGGTAACAATAGAGAGCTTAAGCAATGACAACGGCGACCCCTAGGACAACGCCTAGTAAAATATGAATTTATATTGTACCTTCGAATTTCGCAATCATCTAGATCTGTTCAGTGCGCCTATTGATCTCAGAACTTGCTCATATGTGTAACGCCAGCGTTCAATTCCAAATGAAAGTAATAAAAATTAGCCTCCGCCGTGAACGTTCGTGTTCTCCAAAATATGCAGAACTCAGTCATTTCACTTTGCTGTTTTGCAGAGGACAGCTAAGAAATATAATATACAAAGATTTATAACGCACGTGCAAAGCCATTGTTCTGCTCGTTAAACTTTTCGTTTGGTGGCGTTCTCGTTGCCGTTGTCGTCGTGTTTTGCTTAAGGACCCTGTTGATGTTAAGAGGACGGCTAAGAAATGTACAAAGATTTATAACGCACGTGCACAGTCATTGTTCTGCTCTTAAACCTTTTGTTTGGTGGCGTTCTCGTTGTCGTTGCCGTCGTGGTTTACTTAATTAAGTTCTCTAATATGAAATGTTTGTCACTGTTGGAATATAGTCAAGCACCGGATGGTTGGAGATGTCCACTGATTTATGAGTCAAATGGGTCTATAAGTTACGAATCATATGTCAATGAACGAATCAATGTAAAATAACACTGTGGTTAACTAGGCTATAGGCTTTTTGCAACAGTTGGTCACGTCACGTGCTTTTTAAGAACACGCTGATTTAGTCATTGGATATGCCGTTATGTGATCAGAAATGGAAAGAACATTTACAACAGCTAACATCAGGCACCTTGGCTCCTGGCTTACGTGCGAATCTTCAGGTTTATATCCTTTAAGAGGGAATTTTATGGACGTTAGAAACTAGAAGGATTCGAATGGATAGAAGACGCTTTGCACTCCAGTCACGCTCCAGTGGAAATCCATACAAATCCCTGTAATAATAACTGTAATATTGTCAGTTTTTAATCTCGGCCTTTCAGTTTACTAGTAAGAGCCCAGAACTTTCAATTCTTCCTACTATTTTATGCCAGCAGCTCTCTTCTTTTGTAGTGTTTACTAACGAAAAAAGTTTGTGGACGAGGGGGGAATCTTTCTCGCTTCCATACAAAACCTTCTAATTTTTGCAATATTCAAATCGTCATTAAATCTCAACCTTGCAAGGCATTGGTCTGAAAATTGCTGATTTGGCTATTTAAAGCATGCTCTTTCCAGTTCTGAAATTCATATAGCTGTAGCAAAACGTTTAGAAAGAAACGGTTATGTGACCAGCTGTTACAAAAGGCCTCTTGTAAGTGACACTTGGGGTAACTCGCAATGCTCCTAACAGTAGCAGTGGTTTGCCAGCTGAATAGCGCTCCTCGTAACTTGAATAGCGTTCTGGTTAGCATGAACAGCAGTCAGCTCAGGTTAGCTAGCTTGTTTACGGTTAGCTCTCAATAACGGCAATGGTACCAATTGAAAGAACATATAACTAGGGTGGCTGTGTAAACAAAGGGTTGTGAAGAGAGAGATGTTAAAGGAGCTGCGCCATTCAGGTTTCTAGGTTTTAGCTTGCACTCTACGTGCAAATTAAAAGCTTTATTCCTCGGCTATTGACGTGTTGAGTCAGAAAACTGACGAGATCAGAGAAAAACCTAGCGAGACAGTAACAACCAATCTAAAAATACCTTTAAAAGTTAGCAGACGGACTAAAGTCACGCTTTGCGTTCTAGTATAATTATTGAAAGTATACTTACAATTTCCAAGATTTTAAGAATTCCCTGAACGGACTTCACGTAGCCTGTATTTAGAGACACCATCTTGTTTTGTTATCTAGAATACAAAGTCAGATTATCAACTTAAACTTGGCGAGAAGGTGTTAATTCGTGGATCGCTCACTCTTGCATAGTTACACGAGCCAAACCCGAGCCCAAGTCAACCTCGAGTCACGAGTCAACCTCGAGTCAACCACGTGTTCACTTCAACTCCACCATGTCTACACAGTAATTAAAATAAGGAAAAGGCGCGATGTAGCAAAAATGAGCTTGAATGTTGTATATTGTTCGCTGTTTCACTGAATTTAATACAGGGCCAATATGTTTCAACGAATAACAAAATTTAACAGCACTTCTGTATGTTTTTGAGGAGAAAAAGGCCACCGAGCACAATTTCGCGTATGCTTATTTCTGAAGACTTATTCTCTCGTTTTCAATTTTTGCGGCAACTACTTGTTGACAAACTCGGTCACTTCATTGATACCTTAGGATTTAAACTGAATTAGTTATATTGCCTTCGGGGTGGTAGATCGCATTAATTAAATCAAAAAGATTGGTGTTCCTTAATGCCCATTCAAGTGTAGGCGAGAATTTAAGTGACTATCAAAACTGCAAGTGCAATATTCAAGCAATATATCAAACACTTTCAATTGAAAGGTTCTCCAAGTCGATAAAAGAATAACAATGGCGGAGAAATGACGTCCCAAAACTAAAACGCTAGGAGTCAAATTCGATCGTGTGATTTCCCGCCTCGACTTTTTGCATGTCGCTCAGCCGGGCTTTTATCTTTGGTGAGCTGTTTCGTGTTTGAAACTGTAGAACTGGCTGCATGAGTTTTTATTAAAGAAAAAAATCAGTTGCTCTTAGCGACCCCTTCTGCTAGGTCAATTATTTTCAAACATTTTTCTTTTTAAATTTTCCCTGATCCAATTTGGACCCGCTTCATATAACCATTCGATTTTCTATACGTTCCTTCGCTTTCAGGCCCTAGTTGCTCAACGTACCGGGAACTCTTTCAAATCAGATAAATCACTATCCACCATCTAGGTAGCATCGATCGATTCGTTACCCGGTTTGTGCCGGGTAACCTTTACTGATAGCGAATTATTTGGTTCCTTTGATCAACAACCCATATGAGCCTGCCCTAAATATTTCGCACTAGCGTTTCAACTACTCTCTACCCTTCGTTCCGTTTCACTTTTAGTGCAATGAAAAAAAAAAAAAAAACGGCCCTGGATAGTATAAAATTTAAACCTATTAGGGGCATTCTAAACGAAACTTGATTGAATATCTAAATCTCTAACAACTTACCTTTTGGAAACGTAACCAAATCACGCAGCAAACTAAGAAATCGTGGCGATGACAAAGCTAAACGATCCTCTAGTAATTTCTATATTACTCTCCTTTTCTTGATTAGAAAATTTAACCAAGAAATATCGTCGAACGAAGGAGGTTAACACGTCAGTCGAAACAAACAACGGGCACACCTCTCAGTCTCCAGTTATAATTTTTTTATAATTTATGCATCAGCGGAACAGATTGTTTGTACAGAAAGCAACGGCATGTCAATCATGTTAAGACAAGCGAAGCCCTTAACTTACTCATGACGAACTTTCGTCTCAGCTGTCAGAGTATTTGCTCAAAGTTGTCTGATTAAAAAAATTAGACCTTTGTTCCAGTGCAACCAAATTAGATGCGAAATAAAACAAGTACGAAATGAGGTTGGTAACGCAAGCCTCAAGTTTTGACATGTACTACATTTTCAGTCATTCTCGTCATTATTTGATACATATGTCGTCAATTTCACTTTCTGCAATTACACTGCCAGACGTAAAATTCAAAACTGCCGTCTTTATGCTCTGATGATTGTCTGCTTCTTGGGCATGAATCATGCGGAAAGAGAAGTTTCTCGATTGCCATGTGCTACTCAGGAAAGTAAGTCCACAGTCACTGCTCAGCCTTAGCCTGCAAACCTGGCGTGATATCGCGCACAAGTACCTTTAGTTCAAGTCCGTCGGAAGCTGGGAGCTAGGGTGAAAAAAAAAAAAAAACTGGAACAGAGTAACTGATAGACTTAACAAAGCAAGCAATAAACACCATACTGGACTAAAGAGCACAGTGCCGATATGATAATGGCAGTTTTCTTTTTATATATATTAGCAAACCAACCGAAAAGGCGATGGCGCTTACCATTTACTATTCGGTTTCAGGTTGCTTTCATTGATGGGAGCGAAACTGCAAGTGGAATGAGCGACTGGTAAAGAATTTTCAGACTTTCCGTTCCAAACGGGAAGAGAGGAGAAAGATAATCCCGGCAAGGTTCGAATGAAGGTTCTGGAAAGGTTTTGCACGATTCATGTTCCCCCGAAAATAATGTATAATTGGCTAAATAAATGTCAGCTGGGGTTTGTTCTAAAGACACAAGTCAAAGAATAAAATGAAAGGCCATTCAGTACGCGTTATCTTGTTCCTCTGTTTCAAAACGAGTCCTAGTTTGATCTACATGAGAATAAACGCGTAGGCGGAACACATTTTAATAATGAAATAGTAATAAATAAATATATTTATGCAGGATGACTATTTCAGTTATAAAAACTGCTATTGACATGGGTCCTGCGTAAAATAGAAAAATGAATAATTAGTCAAATAAACTATAAAGTAGGCAAAAATCTAAAAGCTATATAAGAAATCTAAAAATATACATATAAAAAGAATAGCTGCTTACGAAGACTCGAATTGAAACAGAGGCAAAAGGCAACTCGAAAATGGCGTATCGCGGATTGAGAGGCGCGAGAAACATTTCCACTTCTTACAATGAACAATCACTTACATTGGAGTATATGCCAGCTATGATAAAATTGTGTGCAGACTGTGAAACCTGAGTGAGCCTTTAGAACATCTCAAGAAGAGATGATTTTTTCTTTTTATTCAATGGGACTTGAACTTTAAAGTTAGTAAACCCAAAGGTACAAACAAGATGATGTCAAGATTAGCAATGAGATTTCCAATATTTTCTGGCCAGTTTTTGCGATGAGAGTGTCAGTTATTGTTTGCCACCGTCTACAGTGAAGCAAAACATTATAGAGGCCAAACGGACAAGTAAACACGAGCGAAAAGTTAAGTTCATATCTCCATCAAAACAGGAAAGTGGAAACTCCTTTTTTTGAATTTCTCTGATTACAAAATATCCTTGAGAATAATACAAATGAAACAATGTTTCAAACGTCATTTCAGTTGACGAGTCGGAAGAAACAGAAATGCAGTGACGGATCCAGAGGTGTTTAATGGGGAGGGTAATATGGGGTATAGGGTGATAGGGGTGGGAGAGGGGTTGAGAAACGTTTTGCGCCCCCTGGATCCGCCACTGGAACACTCTAATCAGTGAAGAAATCCTCCCACTCGTACACGACAGCCTTCTCTTGCTTGTCTCCCCAGGACTCGCTATCGCTGTCGTCTGACGCGTGGTAGGTTTCTAATTCTTGAAGATCAGCGCGGATTTCGTCTTCCTCCTCTTTTAGCCTTCGTGCCATCTACAAATTGAAAGAAAACATTTCAAGAAAAGTACCTTGACGTTTCAGTTTGAAATAGATGGTCGGGTTGAAAAATAGACATCTAAATTGTAAGTTAACATTCACATTTTATTCCTGAGTCACACATCATAACGGATCTAAAACAAAATATTCGCAGATTAGCTATTTGGACAATTCCTGACTAAAAAGTAACATTGAAGAAATCTTACTCTGTCTTTGATTTTCTTGGCGTATTTTCCTCGCAGTTTATTCTGTTTGTCAATCTTCTGCTGACGTTCCTGCTTTCTTTTCTCGGTCTCGTCCACCTTCCGTTTAGTAGAGGACTGAAGTTGCGTCTTAGCAAAGGCTTGAGCCGCGGCAATCCTGCTTCTATTCCGTGACGCTCTGTTCCCTGCTTGTTTCTTCTTCTCCATCTCCTCATTCCGCTTGCTGTCGGCTGCCGCCTGCTTAGCTGCAATTTTGGCTGCAGTAGCTTGGGCGGACGTCTCCGCGGGGTGTGGTCGACTAACTCCAGCCCTGCTGCGCGCGCACTCTCGGATGCGCTGTAATTCCTTTAGTTTCCTCTCCTCAGCAGCGCGCATTTTCTCTTTCATATCCTCCAAAGTGTGTTCAGGCGCCACCTTCCGCTTTCTAAACCGTCGAGGAACTCTAGCAGGTGGGTAGACCGTCTTCTTCTCTCCAACAGGAATGTCGAAAGCGACTGCGGTTTGCACCTTTGTGGAGTCAGTTGAGCTGAGTGGCTGAACAGCGCGGACAGTATTGGAACTTGAAGAATTGCCATAAGCTTGGAATGCGAGGATTTCAAACGCAGTATCCACTAGTTGCCGATTACGGTCTGCAGCGCGAAGCCTGTTATTCCTATTGCTTCGCACGGGTGGCGCACTGACTCTTTCGTTGGCCAATGCGCGCATGGCAGCTTCTATTTCCTCTTGCGAGGAATCATCAGACTGGCTTGAACTGTCCTCGCTGAGTGAACTTTTGCTCCGGACTGCCGCCAAAGAATGGACACTGGATTCACCCTGTTGTTCTTCGTCTTTCCAGAACTCTCGGTCCTGAAAACATGCCGCGTCTTGGTTGGCAAGCTCCATTTTACTCGCGGCTTGTCGCGGCTCCGTAAAAATCATCATTGCTGGATCGATCTTGTTTGCAGATTTAAACTTTGACAGTAGCGACCCGCACATCTTGCGTAGTCAAACTCTGATAACAATGTATAAAAATAACCTCAGAAATATGTGTTGTACAACTGCTGTTTGCAACGCGCACAAACCGTGTCAACAAGTTTCCAAAATGAACAAACTTCTTGTTGCCTTGGATTCGTTTATTACGTGCGAAAACGTCAGCATTTAAGTCGACGTAACATTCGAATAAAACTAATGGAGTATGGACTATTGACAGGTAACAGGTTTTCAAATTTCCCTCGGTGTTTGATTTAACGTTCTGTTTCGCGCGCTTTCTGTTGCTTACTATTGGCCCAGTTCCCGATCGCTAAAACATTTGTTTGCACGCGTACTTACGGCAATAGAATATGGACACGCAGTCCACAGCGCTCAAATGCATTGCGCGTGCGCATTTACCACATCGTTCTCGCCTTCCGTCCTTTAACATTTCAAATTTTCGAAATCCTTCAAGCCTAAAGTGAAGACTGCTGCTGGAAAGTTTACCTTAGTATAGTACGCCGCATATGCTTAAAGAATGTAATTATTGTGAACTGCAATTGGATTTACCGCTGCTAGAACGTTTTCTAACAAAAGTCTCTTCCAAACTTTGAGGCCACGAAATCCGGAAGTGGTGTTGCATTTTTGCATTTGACCGCTACGAAGACATACAGGAACTGACTGGGCCCACAGTCGACTTTTTTTTTGGTCAGTGGGTTGCTATGTAACGCGATGTATTGTTAGCACCTTGCAAACTAACCCTGAAGCCACTTATGTCGATACTTATTGTGCTAAGACCAAGAGAGATAAAGCGATGCAACTTAAATATTTTCTTGTGTCCATGCGGTTCCGTTTTTCTTTTGTTTGTTTTTCTTTTCCACCTGAAGCTGATTCTGGCAAGGACATACCATCTCGCAGTTTGTACGTTTTAAATTTTTAAGGTCAATGACTCTCGAGGGACCCCTCGAGTGAGACTCCTGTCTCAGACAAGGACAACAAACAGAGCAAAATGTTCGAAAGAAAACTCGTAAATTTCGCCCGTAAACTAAAAAATTTGTCGCATAGGTCATTAAAAATATCGCTTTGGTCACAGCAATAGGATCCATTGAATGCAATTTTCCCTGATGTTGCAGAATATTCACCGCAAACAGTGGAATGTACCCTACAATGAAACACGCGAACATTTCTTCTGTTTTATCTGATCGCCGATTTAAACCATGAAGCTCGCTCATTACTCTGTTATGCCGCTTAAGAATGGCTTGTAAGCGTTGAAACGAGTGTACAATGGACAAAAACGACAGCATCCCGGCGACAAAAACTGCTATTTTCAGGATGACCCCAAAATTGTATTTTGCGCCCGATGACTGTCGCGCTTGAAGGACAAACGGATCTTTCTCGCGCAAAGAGTGAACAAAAATGCCAACGCCCAACGTCGAAACTAACAAGAGGACCAACGCAGCTTGAATTCGCCGCACTGTAAGAAGCGTTCCACGCCTTGTCATCTTTCTAAAAGTATCATTCATGTCACAGCCGATTAAGACAAAACAGAAATAGCTGCATCACAGCAGACAGTATGTCACCATGATACGCGCAAGCGATGCGGTGTAGAGTTTATCGGGATTAGCACGAATTACTAGTGAGGCAAACGCCAGAGGAATATTTACAAGATATCCAGTTAGATCAACGGAGGCCAGGGCCATCAAAATAAGTCTTGTGGTCTTGCTAAACAAGGTTGGCATCTTGACGAAAGTAAAAAGGACCCTCGAGTTGCCAAATCCACCAGTCAGGCCGATTACAGCGAGAGTAAGTCCACTGACAATTCTGGCTGAAAGTGTTGGGTGTTCGAGTACTTCTGAAGTGTTGGTGAAATTCGCTGAAATATTCGATGTCATTTATAGATTCTTTCTGAAGATTTCAGCTACTTACAATGTTAGCCAGTGAATTATTCACTTAACAAGACAAAACATTAACAGCTTCAAAGAAATCAATTTAACCAGCAGCCGTGAAGAAGCGTATCTCTTTTCTAGGCGAAAATTTGAGTTCTGACAGTGCAAGGCAATCTTCTTGCTGACGAAAGACATTTAAAGTTATTCTGTTTGAATTATACCACAAAGATCTTAAATTATTAATTTCCAGGAATTAACTGTCATGCAAGTCAAACGTCATTACACAAGATTAAAAACGGCACAAAATTAGTTTCGACACCAAGATATCTGGACGCTTTGTTTTCCCAAACTTCACTTGAAACCAATGATCCTCAAGTGGTGTGTTTCATTTATTGATTGGTGCATTACTTGATAGGAAGAGAAAACAAAGGAAGATTTGCTCGTGAGCGCTTTTAAAAATAAATTGGCAATTTTTAAAATTGTCACCGTACTTCAAGAACGTTGACAAAGGAGCAAGCGCGAAAAAGTTTCGGTGGTTTTCTTTGAAGTGTTTCACAACATAATCCTCCTTAATCTTGTTTTCAAAACTTACAAGTAAGCATGTGCACGCCGGGTTTCGAGGCTCTGAGGACGAACGACTGGAATTTGTATTTATTGACGAAACACTGCGAAAGGTACTGAAAGGTATTTACAGGTTAAGGAAGGTCCATAAGCTACGCTTTCCTAACTTAGCAGCGACATTTTCGGCGGAATTAGAGCAACTTGGCTACCATAAATTATTTATCTGTAAACGGCAGGTGGCAAAGGTGACTTCAAACAAGAGAAACATTCAATTGCAGGACACAATGCCTTTATGTGAAGAGTCCTCTCTGTCCGCATTCACACTATTGTAAAATAATTGCAATCGGTTGATTCCGCCTTTGAAATAAGAGTCTACCTAGCACCTCTAACCAGCCAGTGAAACGAGTGTCGCTATTAGCGACACAATGAGAGCTTCGTGTGCAAATAACGAAACCATGGATGTACTAGAAAGGATTCTTTCGAGAATATATGACGGTAGATATTAGAATCTAACGCTAGCAAATGCCAGTGAAGGAATGTCCTCTTGGTGTTAACTTAATACAATAATTTAAAAATACTCGCTGAAAACAACGTAATAGGTTATTGCACAGAAATGCAACGCAATAAAATATCTCCGTGTTTCTTTAGCCATATAATTTTATTTTTTCTTAAACTTACACTTATTTCTAGTTGACAGGAGTCTTGAGAAAAAAAGAAACGTAAACACTTATTTGGAAAAAACTGAGAGCAGATTGTCCATCAATATGACGTCTAAGTATGACAACATGTATACAACCCAGCGGTTTTCATCCATTGTCAAAACTAGTCCAAAACGTGTAGTGCAACAGACTTCAACCTATCAAAACAAACTTCGTTTTCTTAACCATGCCAATCGGGAACAAAACCAAACACATCCGCGCGTTTTCCCGCGCTAGGCACCGGTTGCACGTTTTCCCGCGCAAGGCACTCTTTACATGTTATGGCCTCGAGTTCTCATTGGTTTATTGTTATTTGCATTTGCTTTGATTGGTAAGGTGTCATTGCCTTAACCGATATCACAACAGTCATCAGAAAACCGCTGTAATCGTTTCTAAGGTTACTTTGGCCTTGAGTAACAAAGACAGCTCTGACTAGCTTGAAGACTGGCTCCCATACGTTCGCATGACAATTCAAGGAAATTCAAAAACGAACCTCATGGAATAACCAACACATTGCGAGCATGAATTCATTTTTGAGAAAGCAAGGGAAGAAACCTGAGACACACGAAACACGAACGGTAATTAAAAACGACTTCAAATAAGGTTTTGTTTTAGATGATGGCGTGAACAACTCAGAATAGAAAGAATGTCCATTCTTCTCCCCAGACTAAGTGCCTAGACGCCGACTGAAGGAATCGCGCAGCTCTGGTGACGAGAACGTTCAGCACGATTCTGGCATCTTTCAGAGGTTCCTTACAAACTGTTAACGCTCAAATCCATTGTCCCTCCGGAGCTATCGTGTTAAAAGCTTGATGTTCACTCTCCAAAATGGCGCGACTCGAGATAAAACAAGACCACTTTAGACTTGCCGACGATTTGCGGCCCCATGCCCCACTGGGGGCAATAAGGTTTGATCATGATGATGATGATGATGATGATGATGATGATGATGATGATGATGATGATGATGATAATGACGATGACGATTTCGTAAGAGCCAATTTCTGACATGGAAGACACTAAAGACAAAACAGTAAACTAAGACAAGCAATTTACTTCAGACCATCGAGTGGATGACATGGTTTCTTAAAAACAGTACACTCACGAGGTGCTTAAATCAACAGGCAAACAGTGGTGGGTTCACTCGCACTTTCCACCACTATGAGAGAAAAGCTGTTATTTTCAAGAACAAGAGGCTAAGCAGGATTTGCTAGTCACGATACACATGAAGAACTCGAACATATAGTTTTACGTCATAAGCCCACATCATATGCAGCCCAGGAACACCTCTGACGATAACACGGGATCAGCCAGTTTTTTTTTTTTTTTTTTTACAGTCCTAATCAGGTTTCCGACCGATTGCCCAAACACTTCCATCAGTCGAAGAAGTGTCCAATTAAAATAGTGAGAATCCAGATTTCTATCACCAGTCTGTGGATATCACCATCTCGATGAACTTCGAATTTGATGAAATACTGCCAACTTGCACAGTTCATTAAAAATATATTCTTTGTTCGTATTGGATATATCATTAAAACTATCGGAAAACACCTGTAATTTCAGTTCTGCATTCAGAACGTGGATTGAAGCAATATTTTACTTTTCTATCGTCTTTTCAGTTTCTTTGATTGGTTTGCAATATCTCCTAGCTCTTGAAAAGTTACTCTTACTACATGTATTAATTATTTACAGTGTCACAGTCACTTATATTATCGTTCTGAAAAATTTTGCCCCGGCAATATTTGCCCCTTGAAATTTACTGAAAGCTTGTCATAAAACGTCTATTTAACACTGGCCCCGCAATCAAGCGAGATCGTTACGATTTGTACAAGTGTTCTCAACCACAACGTAACTTGGAGGACAAGGCTTCTGAAAATTCATGGCGCCGCCTGGCTCGTGATCGTCGGAAATTCTCGCCAGAACGCGCAGATTGTTCATGTTATAAACTCCAGGGAGGGAGACAAAAGCGTCGAATTTCAATGAAGAAGTTCCATTTGAGTCAAGCTGAAATCTCCTCGATGTTTGTCCTACCCAAGTGAATGAGCTAGGCGATGACCTGGGGTCCAGGTTGGTTTCTTTGTGAAAGGAAAGTGCACTGTTTTGGGAACTGTTGGATTCTCCTGACACTACTGTAGAGTTTCCAACGCTAGAGGGAAAGAAAGGAAGTTCAATTCTTAGCGATCAAGATTGCAAAATGAATCAGAGCAAACAGGAGCTGATGAAGTACAGCGCACAAACCTGGGAAGTAACTCCACAAACACGTCAACCGGTGTTGAACAACAGTTATGCAACAAAAGTTCCACAACGAGACAAGCCAACCTGGAAAAGAAATTTGTCGGTAAATCGCGAAATCATCCCAGTGAAAAGGAGCGCTTCCCACGACCCAAGTAATAAGATTGTTGACAGAGACAAATACTTTCTGATATTATCGCTTTTCAGTCAACTCCCCGGCCAAAATATACGAAGAAACCATCAGTAATGATAACACCAGGTTACAAAGGAGAATTCGACCAAAGGCTTGATCTTGACGTCGAGTACACATGATTGCAGAAGTTTGTAGAATTGCAAAATCTTCACAGTAAGTCCAATTTTTTGTGATTGCGCCGCGCAAACAACAGCCTGTAGTCAATTCTTTTTTTATGCACGAGACAGTGTTTACTGGGATAGGATTTGGGTCGATATTAGGGCGGTAAGGCTTTGCACAAAATTAATTCCATCAACGAATCAATACGATGTCACTTCAAGGGTAGCATCGCCGAATGTCATCGGAAGACTCTCGAAGATTGCGGGAAGTGTTCCGAAGATTACCGGAAACCAGCAGAGGAATTCCGAAGATTGCTGAGGATACCATGAATGAAAACGAATAACAAGCTCTTAGCATGCTATTTTACCTGCTGGAGGTGAAATCGACTTGCAGCGATGCAGGATGCCGCAAAGAATACTTGACTAACAGCTCTCTGTTACTCACACCATCCAAAGGACTTGGTAAAGCTATTTCGTTTGAGGATGAATCCACCTGTGGTACCTAGGTGAGCACAAAAGCACTGATATGTAATAAGCGAATGTGTTTATCAGATACGTGGCTAAAGAGAAAGGAGGAGGGAGGAAAGGGGAGCGACTCAGGGAGAGGGAGCGATAGAGGATAGAAGAGGTAGAGAGAAAGAGGGAAGGAAGGAAAAATACTAGTTCCTTACCAGAGGTTGTGTGACCGCTGACACTGTTTCTGCTAGTCGGTTGATGTTCACGTGGCTCTGACCGTTGACAATTTGCTTCTGAAAGTCCTTGTCTATATACGAAGTCTGATGTTAAATAAGGAGAAAAATGGTCACTACTTGCTGGCACGATGCACTATACGCAAATAGCATACACCTTGAACACTTTTGACGCCAAACCGAGCATGATCGAAGACAAAGCGAACTTTCCCGAATATCAAGATATCCTTTTATGCCTTGACTTACGCTTTTCAGACCAGCTGTTCCTTAGACGCGACGAGTATTTGCTACCTCCGTATCTCCGCGAGCCCCAGTTTAACACCGTTGATATGGACATGATTTTTACTCGCGAGGTTTTGCCGGGTACATGAGCGTTTCTCCTTTGTTTTTAACGCTTTCTCACCTGCCAGAACACAATTAAGCCAATGTCCACTTGCGATGTGTCATCGACACTCGCGGATTCAAGGTTCTCGTTGAGTTTCCTTTGCTCCTCCCAAGCCTGTGATCTGAAGTAGAAGTCAACTGCTGGAGAGCACGAGGCAGCGATCTACAAATATAAAAAGAAAATGCAACCTTGAAATATAATACAGTCAAAGATAACCATATAATTAAAGTAATATCTGAAGTGGCCTCATTTAGAATTAGCCGGCTCACTATGCTACAGAAACATTTACCACCTTAATTTTATTCTAGAGTGGTTCCTACCTACAAGGACCATTCTGGCAACAGAATTAACCGGCCGTTTTACAGGGGTGGGTACAGATCGGGTGGAAGGTCACGACGAAACCGTTTAGCTGTTAGTGGCCGTTTCAGTGTTGTTCGAGTGTGAGAGACAGTAAGTCTCTAGTTATGGGTATGGCTACTATTTCTTACATGAATAACGACACATGATCTTTCTGTTTGATTTGTCGAACTGAGAAATGTTATTAAGTGACACCAAAACAACAACAACAACAGAGGAATTTTTCCCTATTATAAATTCTTGAATGAATTCTTACTTCATTCTCGACAAAAGACACGTGACTGAAACGGAGTTCGTCATCCGAAGAATGACTTTCACCTGTGGAAAGAAACAGAATTACGTATAAGTAATACGTTAATACATGTACGTTATAGTATATCACAAAATGAAGACACACTAATGTGACGAATACGGAGGCAGACAGGCAGGCAGGCAGACAGACAGACAGACAGACAGACAGACAGACAGACAGACAGTTGACGAGAAAATATCTGTATTTCCATTCAGATCAAAGACATGACATAGTTGTGAACATTTGGTGGCGTATCTAACCAACATCGAGTGTCAACGTTTTCGCCGTCTGTTTGGTAATTATTTTATTGATACCAATTCTGTTACCTTGGTACTTCGTTGCTTTAAATTGGACGATCACTGTCTCTCCATATCTTACTTTAATTGTACCATCTGTTTGACGTAATAACAAAGAATCAAGTAATTTTAACTTTTAAATAACGCGAATATCCTTTGACATACTTTTAGAGCTTGAAAATAAAATTTATGAAGCGCAGTTCTAAAATACCTTGCTGTCTCATTCAGGTTTTACAGGTAAGAGTCACCAATTTTCACTGAATTTACTGAGCTGAAATTACTTCTTATTTAAGGTGGCGTTTGTTTACGAAGGAAAAGGTGGCAGCCGATATTACTGAATCCTCGCTTATTCAATGCAGTTGACAGTCAGTCATCAAAAGTGTTTATTATATGGCTTGTTCTTGTAGCCGACATAACGTGCGCTCTGATTGGCTAATTGTAGGGCATTATTCTCCCGTGATACCCACCGGCCGATTACGGGATTGCAAAAACAAAGCAAAAAGCCATATAATAAACTTATTAACCTCGAACGTTCGGTCTTAACGGGAAAATCTCAGACCGAGACCTTGCCGTATTGACCGAGCCATAGCGAGGTCCATACGGCAAAATATCTCACTCTCGGTTAACAGAGAGCTCACCCTCGGTTAAGAAGTAGTTAATACGCTGACCCGGGTGTGGAACAGTACATGTGACTGCCCGCTAGCAGACCGTTTACTTTTAACCTCAAGAAAGAAGTCTGTGCTTGTTAAGAAAGGTGTCCATTCGAAAGACTTTCGACGTACGCCTAAATGACGCATCTATTGGTAAACGCTCGAGTGTACCTGTCTTATGATGGCTTAGTGGCTGCAAAGTCCATTTTCGACTTGCACAAGACACTTGAACAACCGAAAATTCGATATGTTTTCTTGCAACATCACCCTACAGAACAATAGAGAAATATTAATACAGCTGAAAAAGAGACACATTACTGAGGGGGGTTGCCCGAGAGACAGTACACATGAGTTATGTAAAATGACAATTCACTGACCTGTACAAGACTCTCCACATCCAGTGCAATAATCAGCTGATTTTGATCCTCAGAACTAGGGAATAATTCATTCAAGTGAGAATAGTGTTTATCAGTTAAACATGTCAGTGCTTCAGACAAAAAATGTCTGCAAGCATGTCCTTGCATCAATCAATAAACTGCTCCTTCATTTCTTTATCTTTCTTCCTTCCTTTTTTTTTTTCTCTGTTCATTTGCCTATTATTACTGTACCCCATTCCGGAAAATACAGCCATTTTGAATCAGTTGATGAAAATAAACATTTACGATTATTTTTTTAAAAAATCCTAAGTCATTTGAGGTATTGTGTATATAATCACACAGGAAAAGAACAGAAACAGTTGAAGCCAAGACTTGCTCACAGGATTTCCTTAGAGGTAGTCATACCGTTTGAATCCAAACAAACAAACAAACGGCAAACAAAACAAACCAAACCAAACCAAAACAAAACAAAAAAAACCTGTTTTCAAGACCAGCGTGCCTGTTCCTTCTTGCAGTAGCACGCACGGAGACAGAGCTATTTGTAGTGATGTCAAAAGCATGTTGGAGAACTCGATAACTGAAAGAAAATGAACAGTACAGGAGATTAATTGGCAATACAGCCATGTCCGCGCAAATTTCCTCTGGGACCACAAACAGATTAACCCTTCAAGATGAAATGTTTCAATGTAGCGTGTCATACCTATGTACTCAAAAACTTAAGATATGGAGAAGATTTATGTGACCTTAGCAATGCAAATGGAAGTGTTATAAACCGGTAAATCTTTTAAAAAACAGTCGAGCTGTTGGATATATTGCTGCTACATGTACTGCACAATCAAAAGAAGGAAAGAGCAGGTAGACAAAATTGAAGTCTGTATTAATCTGATTGTACATGTATGGTATAAAGTGGAATCCACGGATTTCTCGAACCATCGATTTTCGAACCTCCTAGTAACTAGAACCAAAAGTCGCTTTCTTCACTTAAGTCGAACACTGAAATTTACCCCCGATTGTGCAAACGAATTTTCGTTTTCCTTGAAGTTTAAAAAAAAAATACCTGTTCCCTGCAACCNCCCCCCTCCAACCTACTCCCAGGACTCTTAAACAATAATGGTAGTAGACAGTGCACTAAAGAGGGTTGAAACGATTTGATAATAACTACAATAAGAAACACCTCACCTCATCAGGGATTTAGTTTCTGCTGACTGGTAATAAAACAGCACCTCGCGTTTGAATTTTCCTGGTTTCTGGTGACCGTGGATCCAAACTGGAAGCTTGGTTGTATAGCCAGGAGCAAGACTACCTCCTGAAATGGGAACTTCAGACACTCTCCTGATGTTACTCACATTAGAATTACATTTTACACTGCTCTGAGTAGTTGGATTATCCCTCGGTGTCGCCCGCGCGCCTCCAAAGGTGAAGAATTCAGGGTTGGGTGTAGCGATGTTGAGATTTTCAAGGTGACATTCACTGCAGTTCGTGAACTCAGCCGTGGTTTGCACCACCTCATTACAGAGAAGTTTGGTTGGAAATCCACAAAATCGAACCTGTGAAAACGATGGCTGGTTAGCATGATTCTTAGAAGCTTTACAGATGTAAGTCATACCTACACGTAGATCAAGCACGAGAAACTCAACAATAATGGTTTTGTAGACTTAGAATTTGGATTGTTAGTGTTTGGAGAGAGAGGAAAACCGGACAACAAGGAGAGAATCCCTCGGTACAAGACCTAAAACCAACAACAAACTCAACCCACTTATGAAGCTGGGTCGGCGGTCCTCGATTCAAACCCAGGCACAGTGATGGGAGGCAAGCACTCTCATGCATTGTTGCACCACCCAGTCCCATTACTAAAGCTGTGTAAGAAAACAAAATCTACAACTGCTCTATATATTCCTAATTATTTTTTTTAAGCTTAAGAGGATTACTTCCAGGAAGCTCATCACCTCAAGTAAAGGCATAGGCGCCACAACATCCAGGTTAAGACGATTGTCCAGGCCATGCACCACGCTTGTCTTCTCTGCCTTGGTGTTGTTCAGTCTTGGACCCTTCAGCACCAGGTCCAACCTTCCCAGCATACTGACAGTAGTCATGGCAGAGGCTGCCGCAGCAGGGACGGAGAACTTCTCGTCAACTGGGCCATTAATGGCCACGCTCGTCAAGCTGTATTTGATGGCTGTGATGTGAAGCTGGCCTGTCTGGCAAGGGATTACAGTCAGATGGGCCTGTATAGAAAAACAGAAATTGTTGTTTAGCCATTGTGGTTTGGTGTGGGCAATCTTTATTTTACCTGCTGCAGATATGTCATTTGCGATCTCGACAAAGCTCCCGCAGCACCAGTACAAAAAGCAATGTATCAGTTAAATTAAGAATATGTATAGTAATATTTACAAGTAACAGGCCACTTTCGATATATTAAAATTCAGCTTGATGGTGAGGCCTACAGGACACAAACAAAAGAAATGAATAAACATGGTCATTCAATTTCCTTTGTTTTCGTCCTCTAAGCCCCGCTGCCAAGCTGAATTTTAATGTATTGTCAACGTGAACCGTGTACCGATGTTAAGTAAAGTTAGTTCTCTGTATTTTGCACACAGATACATTACTGTACATGCAAACAGCATGACGAAAAAGAAAACTATGGCGAGGCAGGGCAAAACATCAAAAACATGCACGTAACAAAAATAACATTTTTACTCAAACCATCAGCCAGTACATGTATAACGTTTATTTTACTTACAGCTTTGGTTTCGTTTCCACAAATATCAAAACTCTTGATCACTTCTGTTTTGACAACATCTTCCCTTGGGGAAAACTACAGTGAAAAGAAGATCATGTGGTGAATAAAACAATTTACAATTACCAAATAAAACTCTGTTTTTCGGTCAACTTTAGAATGATGACTTATAACAGCAGTAACTAATCAGAGCTAACCTCATTAGAGATGCTGTCACTGTTGTCTTCAGGAGTGAATTCCCACAGTAACAACAGGTTTGTCAAATTCAGTGGAATCTTCAAAGGATTTTGCAGGACAACTTCAACTCCAACAGTTTCTGAAAGAGTAGAATAAAATTACAATATACTTTAACAATGTTGATATGTCATTTTTGATCGACCACTCAAAGTTAACTGTGTTACTTCGACTTCTTGTATGGTTCTCTCCTATGAAAATTCATAAAGCAATTCTCAAAATGTCACTGCACGTCATAAGAGATCTGCACATAGCACAGAAGGTTGGGCTTGACCCATGTCAACAGAATGAGTTTGGGAAGTAACTGCAGACACATTGGGTGCTTACCATTTAGCCAAAAATCTGCAAATTTCGGTTAAAAGTGGAATAGAACGGTAATTTTCCGGGAAATCCGTACGGAAATTGTAGACTACCTCCTGAGGTAGTCCTCCTTTTCCGTTCAGAATGGAAACGGCGGAATTTGCTACATTTTCCAGTGTCCAGTCTCTCATCAACCGCAAACAATAACGCGAAATCGATTTGTAAATAGTAAGCGTCATCTCGTTCGGTTGGTTGTTGATTTTGGAAAAAAAACCCTTACCGTTATTCAACGGTTATGCCAATCGGTTTATTCTGACAAATAGTAAGCACCTATTATCTTGTTTGTTTCGACATATGGGCTGGTTTGACACCTAGCACTTGTTAAACATACTTTACTTTGGTGAGCGGAGTTGAATATTGAACGTTAATTGAGCACGTAACGTAACTACATTTTACCCAGTACTAACAGGGATGGCCTTTTACTAGACAGTAAGCCTATCAAGACATCAGTGCTTACTACAACTCAGTACAAGTAATAAAACATACCTCTAACAACACACAGGGGTCTTGTGCTGTTATCCGTCTTTGAGCTTAAACACGGTACGTGAGGTCGAAATATAGGCGGCAAAGGAGTTCTATTAACACTCTCGTAAGCTTCCTCTTCGAGTTGAATCCATCGCTGAGCCAGCTTTGGGTCAAATTTATCCTCAAAAGAAGCATGTCCAACTGAAGCCCAGCTGTTATTTTTTGCAATTTCATCATTCACGCCAAATGTTTGATTAAAAAAGTTGTCCTTGGTTTCAAGTGCACTGTTCACCACTTTTCTCTCAGGGTGTTTGCCTTTAAGATTGCTATGTTGATAGCAGGGTATTACCCTTGTCAAATCCTGATCAACCATGGGTAAAGGTAACACAGGAAGTCTGCTCATCTGCACTTTTTCCTTTTGTCTGATGTCTTTCAGTTGCTGGAAGGAAAAGCGAAATGTCTCTAGGCAAATGAATGTCTTTGAGCAAAACTCACACAGAATTGTTTATGGTGCCAATGTTCAAGGAATTGTGCTGGTCAGTTCTAGTTCATTATGCCTCCATAAATCATTTGCCCTACATCATTTACATCAAATGATGCCATCAATATCTAATATAAGTAAAATTCTACCAGTATACTAATGCAAATGCTGCCATCTGATTGGCTGAGCTACTCGTATACGATCAGGCATTAGAGTGCAGTGGCTCTCGGTCGTCCACGAAATGCGACGTTTTTATCGTTTTTCCGAATTTTTGGCAGAAAGTTTACATGTAAATGGATAATTAAATTCCTGAGAAGACGAAAAAAAGGATAATGACGGTTTTTTGACCGTAAAAGCTTGAAATTATTGAGTTAACGGGTGCGCGAGCGTAAACACCTGCAAATTTACTAAGGACAATTCAGTACGTGCGATTTTGTTAAAGCGTAAAGTTCAATAATGCGTACAAAAATAATTGGAAACCGTTATTTGCGTTAATTTCAGTTAGAATTCTACTAAAACAATTAAATTATTGATTCGGCCTTCGGCCTCATCAACTATCACCTCATAGAAATCTCGAGCTCATAATCTAATTGTTAATTAGAAACCAGTCAGCTGTTTTCTATTAGAAATCCGCAAATCTGAATGGCTCTCTCATCGTTTTCTCATTGGCTGATAGACAATAATCATGCGCCCCGCTTCTTAATTTTAGGCTTAAAAATACACAAAATTGCAGGTTTTGTGTTGTACATGTCATTAAGGTTCTACTGAAACAAGCACACTACTCGCCCTCGTTTTCTATGAGCGATAGTCAACTTGGCCACATCTCGTCGACTATTCACTCATAGAAAACTTGGGCTCTCAGTCTAATTATTAAATATATTTATCCCAACTATACAATGTATGTTTGTCAGATTAATGTTGATTTCTGATAAAATGACTATCGTGCTAATGAGAAGATAGTAAACATAGTAATATACAAAAGCTAACCAAATTGTCCTGAATAGCATTCTCACACATTCCAAATACCTTGAAAACAAACAGAAATTCCCTGAGGTAAGAAGCTTGTTGTTCTGGTGCTTGGAGACTTTCATATTCTAACAGTTGTCTAAAGAATGTTTGGGCATCCTCTAATAAGCGAAGGTTAAATGACTGACGGCCAAGAGTGAAGTTAATGTGGTCCTGCAAAAACCAGAATTCATGATCAGAAATTAGTTTCAGATTGTCTTATTCAAAACAACACCTTATAATCTCACACCTGATTGGCTATCAGCAGGCCTGATGGCATGCAAATAGGACATACCAGCAGTAAGCTTCACTATCTGTATCACAGCCTGCATAGCAAGCGTTCCCGTATGAAGAGCTTTCCTGCATTCTGGCCGTGCGTACATTGGAACGAGAGCAAAAACCCGGCGAAGCAGGGGGGTGGTGGTCGAGTTTTTGCTCTCACTCCAATTTACGCGCAGTCAGAATGCGGAAAAGCTCTTTGTAATGGAACGCTTGCTATTCAGGCTATCCGTATCACGCACATACACGTAACTGGTCAGGCAGCATACATCTCATGGGTGTAATCGGACAGTTTGTGTCAGTTTTTCCTTGCACTTTACATGTATTTCAGACAGATATACTGCACTTTAAGGTGGCTCAAAACAGTTTCCAGCACTTTTCAAGGCCTAGATTTTGATGAGTTACTGTTACCCCTCTTTATCAGTTGATACTACAATCAGGCCCAATCATTGGTGAACACAATGTTATCATTTTCCTGACACAATAGGGTTACCATAGCAACAGTACGACCTGCTAACAACAACCTTAATCTCAACTTTAGCTTTTAATAACTCAAAAACGAGCTTGGTGACCCCCATTTTTTGCTATCAAATTTTAATGAGCAGGATAAGATGTACATGTACCTTTTGGCAAAGTTTTAAAAACATTTTTACACGGAGTTCAGAGCCACCATTAATTCATTTTTTCAGTCACCAATACTCAATTCTGACAATTCATTCCTTTTACCATTAGCAATAGATTGGACAAAATATGATGAAAGAAAATTACTAAAAGAAGTCTTTGTTGGTATTATAGTATAATAGTATCATGTACCTGAGCAAGATGCCATGATTTTCCATTGTACACGTGAAGGGCTTGGCGATAACATCTCAAAGAGTGCTTTCTCTGTTGATAACGGGAAACAACAACCAAATGACTGTTACAGCACTTTTCACTTGAATGTCACCAGTAATTTGCATTTGCTTTGGTTTGGTCAGTTTCATTTGCACTGGGTGAAGACTTAAATTAAAAAAGACAGCTGCAAAAACTGCTTTATAGTTTTTCTTTCTGTCATTAGATCATGTACTCATCACAAGTGCGAAGTTCTACCCTCTACCCAGCTTTCATGTAAATTAACAATAACCCATAGTTAGCCTTAATGCCATCTGTAGTAACACATACTGTACTTTGAAAATCCATTTCAAGAATTACAGTACTGTATTGCAATCACACAGGTTGTGACTGTCTTACCTGTGCTGATTTACTATAGCGATGACCTGCCAAAATCATGTTAAAAGCATACTTGCGGATCATGGGTGGGTCACTGTGAAGAAAACAATGTCCTGCTTGTTCCAGGAACAGAGCACAAAGAAGATCAGAATCCTGTGGAACAAACCAAAAAGTTCAAAGTGGCATCTTTCACTTTTAAACTCATAACTTAAGATATGACTTTAAGTTTGTTGATCTGCCTTGAAGAAATGTCCACCTTTGAGATGTGACTTTTTTGGCAGGTGTCCCCATACAGGTAGATCTTAAACAAAGGCCTTAGTGAGGTGTCTACATGTACCTTAGTGAGGTACATGTACCGGCATTCATGAATATCTTCCTTAGAGAAACACTAGCCCTCTATCTTTGAGTTGGCTGCTGTATGCCTTGAGCAAGTAGCAGGTACCTTTTGAGAGGAGTCCACCTAAGAGAGGTGGTACAATAACAAGAACCCAAAATGGTCAAATGCCGAAAATAAATGAGGGGAAGAGATGCCGCAAACTTGCCATAAACAAAGGTTAGGTGAATTTTATTCAAAATAACGCAAACATTGTCAATAGCTTTTCTCACTTTTTGATTGGCTACTTAAAAAAGTCCATAAGATCTCACTGGTTAAAAAGTTGACAGTTTGACAGCTGAAAGTTGAACTTGAAAGTTTGCATAAACTAAAATTTTATGCGTCTGTACTCTTATTGATGATAAAAATGAGCCAATCAGCGTGCAAGAAATTAGACAGTTATTGTAAAATTTAAAAGGTATCAGCCTAATGGAAGCATCCACCTCAAACAAATGCTAGCCTTTGAAAGGTGTCTCCAATAGATGTACATTTACTTGATAGAGCAGTTTGTACATTACCTCAGCAGTCATTCGCATGAACTGCATAGCAGCATCAAGATAAATATTTCGTGACTTGAGTGTTTCAGTACTCAGGAGTGTGGCTCTAATCGCAAACTGGTGCTGTCTGCAAACAAATTGACACCAACCCAAATGATAAGTATTGCACCCATGTGGAATCTCCCAATTGAAGTACACTGTACAAACTTCCACATATTGTTAATTTATTTGGGTATAATTCCTTGTGCTAATATGACCTGTGGCACGATCAGGCAAAAGTTACTTATCAAACAACCTACTAACATCAAATAAAGTATGTAACGTATGTGATGTAATGTAAGTTGGTCATACACAGAGGCTTAGTAACAGTCAAAATTACAGGGTACATGTATACGTTACCTTCAGACCACAAGAAACATGATCAAATAATGGCTGAACTCAGATTGGAACAATTTTCTTATCTGATAAAAGGCTAAGGAATCAATGTTTTTTTTTAGTCATCTTGAGTTGGATTTTGCTCTGTATCACCTGGAGTACTTCTGCCAGTGAACATTGAGCAGAATTAAAGTTCAACCCCACTGAACCATCTGAAAAGTTATTAAAAAACACTTCCACATTAACTAAACAATACCTGCATGCATTGAGGTACGTGGTGATGGATGTTTCCATGTAGTGGGTGGGATAAGGACGTTGATTTGAAGCCATGAATGCTGATATGGCAGCCATTTCCTAATAGAAAGGTAAATCAAAGGATATGCAGTAGGGCAACATACATGTAGATGTAGGTGGAATCCAAACACCAAATCCAGAAGATATTGGGACTGATGATAACACAAGATATACAGTATGAATAGACTGTGCTAAAACAGACCAGTCACTGTGCTTATGATCACCATTGATCCCTTCATGAACTTACCAGTGCTCCAGCAAAGTAAAACCAAGCATGCTCATGGTTAAAGTCTCTCTTGGCTGTATGGTAACTGTTATAGGCAAACTCATAGTTTTGCACCAAAAACGCCAGATCCCCCAGCTTGCGCTGAAACAGCTCTGGTGAGTCATTGGTATAGCTGAAAGCAAACAATAAACAAAATGTGTACTAAATATGTACATATGCATATTTATTAATTATTAAGATATTTGCAGATAAATTTCATTTCATATCTCTCTGCAGCTCACATTATTCCTGGCACCAGACCAGAGGCTAGTCCAGCTGGCTTTCCTCCACCAAACCACTTCTTAGTTGCACTGAAGATAGAACGATGGAGACCCTTGCGGGAAACAATCTGAATGTTCAAACAGATGCAAAAACATGTAATTTAACAGCTGTAAGTAAATTATCCTTGGGAGATTACAGTTAGCTACAAATTACATGTACCTCAATTCATCTGTAGTGCTCTTACCATTCTTAAACAAAATGATCCAGGTATTCTATAGAGGTTCACCTCTCCTGGTGGCAGGCAAGTCATGCAACTTTAAACCATTGTTCAGCAAGGACACTTACATGTACAAAAGAGATGGGGTGTCCTTATCTAAAATAACATGTCTGCAGGCAGGTTCTAATTTGCTCTGATCAGTAACAAACTAGTGTACAGTGTATGCATGGAAAATGTGTTCTAAATAGTAGCACAGGTGTACATGTACAATGTAGATTGAATTTAACTTGAAGCAATCTTTTGCTCCTTTGGTAAGAAAATTAGGAGAACTTTACTCTCCCTTTGTCAAAGCTACAGTACCAATTTCATGAACTAAACTCTGTTCACCCAGGTGGTTCAACAAATCAAAATACAACACCTGATCATTAAGATATCTCATCAGCTTCTCAATATACTGTAACAGTCCTCTATAACCCAACTCATGAACAAATATCTTGATCCTGTCATGATCACTCAGACTCAAGCACAATCCATGATTTCTTTGCGTTGTCATGCCCCTTGTGCCTCCAGAGAACTGCCGACTGGAGAAGTAGCGGTAATGACTTGCGAGATGATGGTGGTGTTTTTCATTCTGTTTTGTAGCGAAATTTTTCTCTGGTTTCTCATTCATCAGGTCATCATCTTCAGGTACTGGGCCATCATCAAACGTCAGTGGACCAATCAGAATTGGACCTGAGCTACTACGAACTCGACCTCCATCTGTCTCTTCATTAACTGCAGCCTCTGGGTCAAAGTTTTCATCAACAGCACAGTTTTCAGGGTCATCTTCCACAGACTGGGCATCTGCATCGACTTCGTCATCATCCCAGTCCTTGCCGAAACAAAGCCACATTTTCAAGTTAGAGAGTAGGATGAGAGGGGAAGAGCGAAGGACAAAAGAGATTACCTGCTCTTTTACTTAGATTCTTATTACATCTTAAATAAATTTGAAAGTCATGATCAACTTCAAGACTTCTGTACACATAGCATGTACATGTACATGCATATAATAATATCATTCCTTTTCAACTCGTTCCTTTTCAACTGAATGACACAGTATTTTCTCTGCATCATTCACAAAGCCATGCAAACAGTGCAGTACAGTTCTTTGCAAATAGAAGTACAGTGTACAATGTACTGTACTTTGCTTTCACAGGTAATCATCAGCAACTTTTCTCTGGAAAAGGCCATTCTTTGGCTTTTCAATCAGTGCATGAGCAACATCTCTATGATTTTAATGTATGGATTTTGTGGTGACATCCTCCGTTTTGTTACCTACAAAATCAGGATGTCTTGCTATTTTGGTCAGGGAGTGGGAGGGAGGAAACACTGACAATACACTAATGAGTTGGAGGTACAATGAGGAAACTTACCAGTGTGTCCTCACTAGTTGGTATGATAAACTGACTCCAAGGATCAGGAAGGTTAGGGAGTGGATTGGAACCTGTGTTATTAACAGAGTTGATCTGTAACATGTGACAAGCATGTGTACCATACACAGACTTCATACTCTGGTAAATAGCCTCTGCCCTGCAAGACAGAAAATAATATATCAATAAAACACATTTATTTACGTATGCTGTGACTGAATGGTGGGAAACCATCTTACTTCCACCATTTTGAAGAGAACACATTTAAACAATAAATAATTGACCAGGGCCCAGTTGTTTGAGAGCCGGTTAATGCTAACCCAGGATTAAAAGTTAATCGAAGTACATGTATCCATTTTTCTTGTATAAAAATTCTTTTCACTGCTTGTGTTTTGTGTAGTTTGAGATTTTTCAAACTCAAACCTGAAGGACAAACAATATAAACAGAAAACAGCACACAAAAGTTACAAAACTGAAATCAAAATTCTCACTAATCCTGGGTTAGCTTAATCGGGCTTTGAACAACCCGGCCCAGGTTCATTTCCCCAGCCCTCAGCACTGATCAACTTGCCTCCCATGCATCACAGGGATAGACGTATCTTTGCTATTTAAATCAACAGCACCTAGCTTACAATTCATATTGCAAGAGAACTTCACGGAATTTTACCAGGGTGCCCCAGAAATACATGTACTTCAGACCCATTTATAATAAAGTGAGAGTAATAAGAGCATTTTATCCTGGCTAAGACAAAATATTGTACATGTCAGCACCCACAACAGACTCAAACTCTGGACATCTGGACTTGGATTCAATACTAGCTAACTACATGTATTGTACTTCCATGTTCACATATTAGTGTATACAAATTGTTGTAGTGTCACTTTACGGACATGTATGTATCTAGTAGTCATTATAATTATTGCAAATTGCATTTGGATCAGAAACAAGTCATTATGATTATCATGGTAAAAAAGATAAATTAAGCTAATTACATAACCACAGGATCTTACTTTGATTCCTCGCCAACACTGACGTCATGTAAAAGTAGATGATATTTAAACACAGTATTGGTAAACCACCTAAAGTGGCCATGCTGTTCAGACTGCTGTTCCATCTGCTGTGAACTCATGGTAGCAAAAGCATTCATAGGGTCAGGATGGTGTGAAGATACAACAATCAGACCTTCAATAAAGTCAGCTGTCAAGGAAAATAATTAATAAAAATTGTTTATGGACATTGCCTCAGTCATATCTTTTGTTGGGATGGTCCTCCCTGTTACTGATCAATCAAAATGTCCTTCAATCCAGTTACATGTAGCAGAGTGCACCACACCATTGCCACTGCCATCACCATCCTCAAACAGAATTATATTATTTCAAGTCATAGTTTTTGATGGGGTTAACTAAAAACTTCCATTAAGTTATGAAACTGGACTAGATGTAAGTTATAGTACCCAAATTCCCCTTTCATTTAAAGGCCAATACAGGAAGCATCAATTTAAATCAAACTGTGAAAAGGATACAAGCTAAAAAGTGCCTAATGAATTCATGATCAGATGGTTTCACCAGCTGAAAGAAGCAATCTCGAAAGGCCTCAAACCAAGGTGCTGAAGCTGTCAAAGAATGAAAAAAAAAAAGACAACAAAAGCTTCATCATGTTCATGTACTGCATGGGGCTACATTACATACACAGTGATCACAGAAGGTTAAGAGGTTTTTATGTGGCTAGGTAAATGTAATTTACGCTAAGTTGAACTGAAAACAACTGCTGGCCAGCATTAGCCCTCCTTAATGCAGGACAGTCTACAGGTTCTGCAGGGAGGCTCAGAAATTTACAGCTCTCCTGTTGACATCAGGCTGTATATTGAGTACAGCAAGAACAACAAAATCCCAGCTCCATCATAGAGAGCTGACAGTTGTAGAGGAAAACTAGTTTTTTTAGAGAGGAGGTTTCACTCTAACTGCAGGTTCTGGGACCTTGTTCACATGAGCACAATGAGGCCAAAGTACAATCTACTTGTAAGAAAATGTCTAGATTATTTCTTGTGGTAAAATGAATGAGGTGATAGAGTTTTAAATACAATGTACAGCTCTGATGTACATTTCTCCTACCCACCTCTTGCCTGAGCTTCTGGGGTCAGGGTGCTAGGGTCAGTGTTAAGAGGCTGCGTTCTCGACACGACTTCACTCAATAGTTTGTTCACAACATGCTGAGGAGGGTGCGTGGCAGACATTTCAACCAGTCGTATGCGCCAGTTTTTCACAGAGTGGATGACACCAGAAGGGTCTCTGATATGAGCTGTAAAATAATAAGATGTACATTGTCAACAATGGT